CTTCTTCTCTCCTGCTCCCAATGAGTCCGGTTTTCATTTAACCCAAACCGCCCTGCAACAGCCGCCTCATTTGTTGAGAATTATTACCTTGAATTTATTTTCTGCTTCACTGAAAATGTGGCGGTTGCTGATAAAAAGCCAGTAATACGCAGAGTGTGAAGGGAATGATGATTGTTCCAATGCTGCAAGTAAAACACCTTCCAGAGAACCCCGGGGCGTTTCACAGACATTGGAGAGGATTCAGAGAATTGCTGGGATGACCTCATCCCCCAACGGAAGCAACGCAACAGCAGGCTCTTCTCCGCAAAGGAGACTACCACCAGAAGGAGTAAGAAATGCCCAACCAGCACGCTGCAGCAGCTTAACTTAATGCACAGAAAGGGAACTGTGGTCCCCAAGAAAGGAGTGATTTGTGCAGAATGCCGTTAGAGGAGAACCTGTCGTCTCCTAACGACTCAGTGCCCTCACCCTGAGGCCCGTATGTACCTTTAATGACTTCATTGACAATGGATTAGCTTAGCTCCGGCAAAGTCAGCTAGAACCAGACAGCCAGAGTCCTTTTCAATTACAGTTATTAGCCATATTCAGCAAGATCCCATTCTCCTCAGAAATAGTAACTGGCTCAGAAGGGAGAGTTTGCAGTCGGACTATTTTTGGTACTCTACAAATAAACGGCAGATGGCATGGAGTGAAGTTAGGGGGCATGTTGAAATCCATCATGTGAACATCCTGGCAGCTTGGTGCAGTGGCGTTATCCTTTACCTGAGCCCTTCACAATGGGAATGTCACATTTTGCCCGGCAAGAAAAGACAACGGTATTTCAGCCTTAATAGGCCTCTCCAGGGCACCTCCTCGAGAATACAAGAAAGACCCAAACAGTCAAGACATTCTCTGCCAAGCCTACGTTTTCTTCATCTACAGGTGAATACCAAAGCAAGCGGCAGCACTGGGAGGAGCAGATATATTGTAGTTCCAGTTCTCTGCCCCAAAAGGCCCCACGTACCTGTCACGGAGAGTGTTGGGACCCAGGTAGGGGTACTGGCTGTCCTTGAGTTTTCCTTTGATGAGCTGATCTAGCGTTTCTTGAAGGAGAGGCTGGTGTTGCGTATACACATTCTCAACACCCTACAGTGCGAGAGAAGCTCTTGTTACAAATTAATACAGCGGGGCAGCAAGCTAAGAAAGAAGATCAGCAAAGGCACATAGAATCATAGAATCATAGAATCGCTTTGGTTGGAAAAGACCTTTAAGATCATCGAGTCCAACCGTTAACCTAACCCTCTTTGGTTGGAAAAGACCTTTGAGATCATCGAGTCCAACCTTTAACCTAACCCTGCCATCCCACCTCTAAACCATGTCCCTAAGCACCTCATCTATCCTTCTTTTAAATACCTCCAAGGATGGGGACTCTACCACCTCCCTGGGCAGCCCATTCCAGAGCCTGACAACCCTTTCAGTGAAGAAGTTTTTCCTAATATCTAACCTAAACCTGCCCTGGCGCAGCTTCAAACCATTCCCCCTCGTCCTATCATCTGTTACCAGAGAGAAGAGGCCGACCCCCTCCTCACTACAGCCTCCTTTCAGGTAGCTGTAGAGGGCGATCAGGTCGCCCCTCAGCCCCCTCTTCTCCAGACTAAACAACCCCAGTTCCCTCAGCCGTTCCTGTTCCTCGTATGACTTGTGCTCCAGACCCCTCACCATAAAAGGGGCAGCACCATCTGATGGATACATCAAGTGTTAACCACTGAAGTCCAGATTTAGAGAGGCTTTTCAGCAACTACCCCCCATTGTCTTCAATGAGAATTGTGCCCCAAAAGCCCAGCGCGCTTACTATTAAACCTCTGAAATCCACGACACGTGGCAGTGCACCGCGTGCGAGTCTTGCTCCATGACTGTAATTTTGACTAAAACTATCGTTATTTCATCTGTGGCAGATCCATACCTTCAGGCCTTTGAGGAACTGTTTGGTGATGGCTACAGCATCCTTGGGACTGAACAGGTCACTGCCCCGGACCCGTTTCCCTCCATACTCCACGACAGCAGACACTAGCTGTACAGAGAGAGGCAAAACCAGAATCCTGTTAACCTGGGAAACCAGCCTCCAGGCAGTTTTTGCTTAGTTAGGCTCAATGGAGGTACTGGAATGATGACCAAGGAGTCGGGGAGATTGATCCCAAGCAGCTAATGCAGCATAGAGAGAGGCGAGGGGGAAGAGACGAAGTATTCCCCAAATCCACCAAGCCAGTCGGTCTGCCGTGACACCGCCTGCGTAAGGGGAGAGGCTTTCATTCCCATAGTCTGCTGCAGCGACAGCAGATCTTCCGTACAGCGTGACATCATCCTGCTTCTCCACCTCCTCTCCAGCTGCTCACTACATTTGCCAAGCACTGCCACCCTCTCCCTCCTGGCCAGGCTCCTTTTACAGTCTCCAGAAGTCCTTTGCTGCAGCTAT